CTAGCATAAATGGGCTTGGAGTTGGTGTCTATTCAAGGCAGAGGTGGCGTGAATGATTAATATATTGTTTTTGTTACCCCACCTACAAAACTGAAACACTTATCTTACCCTAATAATTTGGTGTTCTTTGTTCTACAGCTATCTGTTCTTTGCAGATAATTCCTGTTTATATTTTAAACAAAAAGTTTAACACTCAATGACAGCTACTCATAGGAACCAAAATTCTTTTCCATAGAAATATCTCTAACATTTCCCCTTACTCATCCAGTTCACTGCTGGCACATCTTATTATCTATTTTTTATAAACTTAAATTCTCACCTCACAAATCATGCCATGAGGCTTCCTAGAGCTGATTGACATATCTGGAAGTTCTTAAGACACTGTGCTACTAGTTCCCACTCACTGTGCATATAGTGCTGGATATCATACAGGTGTCCTTGTACAGGAGATTTATATATTAAGCAGAGTAAGTGTTTAAAATTAGAGCTACCAGTATCATATTGAAATTTGATAATCCTGCGTGAATGTATTAGAATCTTTCAAATAAATGTATCTTGCCAAAAATATTAATGTTGCTTTTAGTGAAGACTTTTAGTGAAGACTTTTACTTGTCTCCAGTAAGCCACACCATAATATCTAGTGCAGGGTTTCTCAACCAAGAATCCCTGGAAACCTAGGGTTCCTACAGAAGTTTCTAGGGGTTCCTTGAGCAATGAGTAATTTCTGCCTGTCAGATAAGTTCCCACTGACACCATTGATCTTTTTAGCTTTTTGTAAGGGGTAATTCTTCCCAATGACCACAAGTGAAAGGAGCATTCTTCTCTCTGAATATAACACTAATGTATCATGAGTTGAAGATATAGTAATTTTTAGTAGGGGTACCCTGAGCCTGGAAAGTTATTTCAAGGGTTCCTCTGTGCTGAAAAAGTTGAGAAGGGCTGCTCTAGTGCATCCCATGCACCCTGGCCTGATCAGGGTAATCTATGACTAGGACTATACATTAAGGGTATTTTCTATTCATATGCACCAGCCTTAGGTTAGATACTTCAGATCTTCTGTAAACAAACCCACCACAGCTGGGGTGTCCTGCATCCACTACTCACAGGTGATGCTACTTGGCAAGATGGTGGCATTTAAAAATTTCACAACCGTGGGCACTTGCTGTGAGTGCATGTTTTGTCAAAGGAGTGTATAACAGTTTTATATACAGTTTCTTTCTATGCTGGTGCTAATACAGTAATAAAAAATGCTTTGCTATATTTTTGATTAGACAATATGAAATATTCTAGTATGTAGCATTACCCTTTTTTTTAGCCAGGTGATTTGGCTTTAGGTTCTTTTTCACCTCTTTTAACCTCCACTGTTGTGCACAGAGCACAATAGCTCAAGCTAAAAATTTGCACACACAAGGAGATGAGTCAGAACTGTAACTCCTCCCTATCTCTACTCTTTCCTCACATTACAATCAACCAGGGGCAGACTGATAACTCATGGGGTTCCCCGGGCAACAGGGGATAATGGGGCCCCTGTGTCCTTGCCCAAACTCAAAAAAGCCTATGAAAAAGGTACCAGGGGCATCTCATAGGGCCCCCCACTGACCCCGGGCCCTCGGGCAGTGCCTGAGTTTCCAAATGGTCAGTCCGCCCCTGCCATCAACAGCTTAATTTGAGGCTTCAATTAGATATTTACTAAACTAAAATTGTTCCAAAACCAGTATAGTTTTTCTTTTAATAGATTGACACTTGTCAGAATGAGAAGTTCTTTACTATATTCTGTCAGGGTCTGAATTTAAAGGTTATTTCTTGTCTACTCCAGAAACTGACCTCGATGATGCTTTGGCCTATACTTTCTGTCATTGACTTAGAACACATTTAGTTGTAGTATACTTGTTCCAGCTCTGTAAATAAAGACAGACACATCCAGTCAACTAGTATTTTCAAAAGAACGTCAACAATGGAAGCCCCCGTATTACTTTCATTGTAGATGTACTTTAAACAAATTTAAGATAACCTTCAAGAGATGTGTGGGTACTACCTGTCTGGAATTTACATGTTCTCCCTGTGGTTGTGTGTTTTTCCTCTGGGTATTCCAGTTTCCTCCCACACTCCAAAGACATGCTGGTAGGTAAATTGGATCCTGTCTAGCTGGCCTTAGTATGTGTCTATATGACTGTGAGTTAGGGACCTTAGATTGTACGCTCCTTGAGGGTTAGGGACTGATGTGAAACTACAATATATAGATGTAAAGCACTGTATAAATTGACAACCCTATATAAGTACCTGTAATACACACTCCAAAGACATGCTGGTAGGTTAATTGGTCCCTGTCTAAATTGGCCCTCATATGTGTATGTATAAATGTGAGTTAGGGACTTTAGATTGTAAGCTCCTTGAGGGCAGGGACTGATGTAAATGTACTATATATATATATATATGTAAAGTGCTATGCAAATTGATGACTCTATATAAGTACATGTAATAAATAAATAAATGTTTAAAGGTAAACTAAAGCATATATTAAAGAGGTATAATACAAAGAGCAGTCATGTAGCACTGTAAAATTGATCTGCATATTATAACTAGAAAAGCTACAATTTCTGGGGAAATTGTGAGAAGTGTTCTTACATCCACCAGTAATCTACAACTGGAGTGGGTGGAGTAACTGTGAAAAGGTCAATGGGCGGCGTGAGTTGCAAACAAATGGTCATATTGTGAAAACTGTCAGGACTATAACTTTTATGACATTTTTAGTGGCAGCAGGGCTAGCTGAACGTTTTGATATAAGATTTGTATAGGTGGGCTTGAAAATGAGGGAGTGATGGCAGTTTAGAAATCATGTCCTGATTTTTCATCTCACACTCTAGCTTTTGTCAGCTCCCACTCTAGTTTTGAACATTCCGCCATTCATTCCTATGGGACCAATTTCACCACAAAAAACGCCGGTATTTTGTGAACCATTTGGCGAAACGTTCCACAAAGTAATAGCACACCAATTGGGAACAATCTGCACGTTTCGGTATATTACTGTCTATGTAGTGTAAAAACTGTGTAAAAACTGTGGGAGGAGTTAGGGTGGTAAATTTGGATATAATAATAAGAATATATATGTGAGATAACAGTAAGTGGTCTTGCCATGCAAGAACACTTAATATATCACATACTATAACTGTTGTTTTGCATGGCACGGTTACTTGATTACATTACAGAACAGAAGTATAACTTCACAAGTTGAGCATTATATAACCATAATGCCCATCCCAGAATAATGATCAGTGGCCCTCACAGTCACTGCACTATGCACTGGACAGCATTGAGGGCCTCAAAATTATGACTAGCAGACATCCTACTCTCCAGAGTAGGTTCTTTAGAATGAGAATTCACAGTTTATCAGATTCATGGCTAAAACACAATAAAAGACCTGAATCAGCTAATTAATTAATGTCACAAATAGGATAACAATCCAGGCGCCAAAGCTCACAGTTTAGGAGACATTCCAGACAGAGAGTTACAGGAAAGTACAGCGCCTTGCCTAATATTACTATTTTAATACACAAAAGAAAACAACCATAGTATACTTAAAGTAACAGTAGCGGCAGAACTTCAGAACAGTGAAATAAAAAATAAAACATTAGGCTGCAGGTGCGCACAGAGCTTAAAAATTAGTCAGTATTCTTCATCGTTTTAGCAACTCGGCTTTCAGCTACATCTAACTACAGCCAGTGCCATAGCCCCCCTTGCATATCTTTATCGGAATCATCCCACTAAATATGTAACTGCTAAAAGACATTAGAAACTGTTAGGTAGCAGCATTGGAAGGAATGACCCTTTAAAAGTTGAGTCCCACACAAATGTGGACTGATGACAGTATTTCACGTGCTATGGGGGCTGTGTCAGCCCAATACTGCATGATTTATTATATCTGTTTGTTCACAGGTTTGAAGTGTTGTAGCTTGGTCCCTTTGACATCAAAAACACTGAAGGTGCTTTTACTGGCTGCAAATGTAACTTGTTCCTTTTGATTTGCTGTGCAATGAATTCTGTTATAGGTTACAGTGCATGTTATACTTGGTTGCATTTGTACATTGTAGCTAGATTACAAATGAAGACAGAACATAGAAATGTTGATAATAGCTGCACTGTTTTACTTCAGTTTTTAGACTGATGAGATAAAGAGACTTTTTTTTTAACAAGACAAAGTGGTAAACATGTTTTGTTAAGGTAAATCAATCAACACAATCTTCCTGTTGTAAAGAAGAGTAAAAATTCTACTTGACATTCTTCTACCATTGCCAAGCAATGAGTGGTGGAAAAATCTGGAGTTTTGATGACTTTTATTTATAGAGTCGGGAGCTGTTGACGCTTCTCTGTGCCAAACACTCACTTGCCCTCACCCACAAGGGTTGTAATACTGATGTTAACATTCATTGGTGAAGTGCATATTCCTATATATAATAAACTGCTCCTTATCTATGTGCTGTTATCTAACGTTGGCCATAGATGGATTAAAATTTGGCTGGTTCAGCAGGGATCGGCTGCATTTCCATCCGTCTATGGCTGTTCTGGCTACAGAGAAGTCAACCTAACAATTGGCTTCTCTTGAACTGGAATAGGCTGCAGTGCTAAACAGTGCATTATGTCAGTGCCCATTGTCAGAATACACACAGAGGTGTGTGGAATCTGTTAACTACTTTACAACCATGCTGTAGCCGAATGACAGTTAGTTGTCCCCTGTGCGCCCCCAGTGCCGCGCAGCTGGCGCTGTCAGTGATACAGACACAGCTGATCACATGACAAGGTAAAAGGCCAATCACAGCATTCTTTTACCACGTGATCAGCTGTGTCCAATGACACAGCAGATCACAAAGTAAATACAGTTGTCAGTTATCGGCAGCACTTTCCTCACGCTGTGACAGCATGAGGAAATTACTGTAGATAACTGAAAAATGTCACAGCAGATCTTCACTGATAATCAGGGCACTGATTATCAGTGCCCTGATCACCAGTGCCGCCCATCAGTGCCCAGTAGTGCCACCTAGCAGTGCCCAGCAGTGCCACCCATCAATGTCTAGCAGTGCCACCCCCCCATGCCCATAAGTTCCCAGTAGTGCCACCCATAAGTGCTGCCCAGCGGTGCAGCCCAGCAGTTGCACCCATTGCAGCCTATCAGTGCCCATCAGTGCTGCCTATTCGTGCCACCTCATCAGTGCCCATCAGTGCTGCCTACCAGTGCCCATGAGTGATGCATATCAGTGTAGCCTCATCAACGCACATCAGTGAAGGAGAAAAACTACGTGTTTGCTAAATTTTATAATAGAAACAAATGTTTACTCTATTTTTTTGTTTATAGTGCAAAAATAAAACCCCCAGTGGCAATTAAATACCACCAAAAGAAAGCTCTATTTGGGTGAAAACAATGATACAAATGTCATATTGGTACAATGCTGCATGACCTCACAATTGTCATTCAAAGTGCAACAGTACTGAAAGCTGAAAACTGGCCTGGGCATGAAAGGGGTAATAGTGCCCAGTAGGCAAGTGGTTAAAAAAAATTCCATCTACTGTATGGTCAGCTTTAGAGACAGATTATCTTCAAAGAGGCTCTGTCACTGGAGCAAAAAGTGGGAATCTGTTGCTGGTATGAAGTGCAGGTACTTAGAGGTGCCTGCACACACCTGTAGAAGACTCCCAAACCTTCCTATCATGGTCAGATTTTGGTTCAAACAAAGCTTCAGCAGTGTCATAGCTTGTCTTCAAATTCCTACTTAATATGTTACTATGAATTCCCATTTGGCCAATGAATCTGCCCATCATGATGATGGGCCAGTAATAGATTTGTTCCCCCTTTAACCAAACAACAGAATCCTTTTAGAAGAAATCAGTGAGTACAAAAGTGGGAGCTGCCATTGCTGACTTTATTGCTGTCCTGAGCAGATGTTTAACAAATATAGGGTTGCCAGATATATTTATTCTTTTCACTGACTCCGCGAGAATGAAAACAAAATGTGTGCTTTCACAAGTCGGCAATGGCAGCTACCACATTTCAACAGATTCCCTACTTAATTACTGATTGTGTTGGTGGATGTATTATTCAGGAGCTGTCCCAGGCTAACCAAGTCTCTGCTCAAATATGCAAAGTATGTCAAGCCCAAAACTTTTTTTTTTTATTTGAGAGAAGAATTAGATGCGCTAGCTGTTTTTTACACATATCTAGGACTCAATTACAGAGATTTTCCCTAACTTTCTGTTCTTGTGACAATGGTTTTACCAGGCAGGAAGTGAGGGAAAATCTGCAACAGACAAAACTAAAAATCTAAGAGGGTTTCTAGCCTTCCTCTACTCTGCAAAAACACATTTTTTAATTCTGTCCGAATTCAATTGGAGAGTTCCAAGGCCGTACATGTGGGCTGAATGAGAAAAATCCATAGATTATCCTATATAAACGACATGCAGCGCTAAAATATACAGTATGGAAAAATTCCAAGTGTGATCTTAGTAATAGGTCATCAATTAACATCTCTTTGGTAGATGAAATGACCCAAAAAAAATATTACTCAAGTTCTTCGTGATTGGATAAGATGCTAAACAGCACGCTAGGGTTAGTATAAGTGCGTATCAGGGGCGGACTGACCATTTGGAAACTTGGGCACTGCCCGAGGGCCCGGGGTCAGTAGGGGGCCCCATGAGATGCCCCTGGTACCTTTTTCATAGGCTTTTTGAGTTTTGGCAAGGGCACAGGGGCCCCATTATACCCTAGTGCCCGGGGGCCCCATGAATTGTTAGTCCGCCCCTGGTGCGTATAGTGAAATATCCGTCATTCATCAATAACCAGTTGGCAACCGTGACATTAGTGGTATGGTGAATAAGTGTAGATTGCACTAACCAGATAGCGCAAAATTAAGCACATTTGAGTGATTAGACCAACTCCTGGTCATCTGCATCTAGGCATCTGGAAATCTGGGTCATCTGGTGGGCATCAGCAGGAATTACAGCATACTATCAGGGCTTCCAGGTACCAGGAGTGCAATCCAAGAAGACCAGGGGGAGCTAACACTTGTGAATGTCATCAATGGTCTCCTTGAAAGGGAAGGCCCATAGATTATCCTATTCATGGTAAACAGCATGGATGGACAAATCTCCAGCTGCTGGCTATTGTATTCTGACAACTGACACCCCCTGTTGCTAGAATACCTGGACAGTGGCTGCAGCTGATTGGTTTCAGTCACATTTCAACCAACTTTTTTTCTCCCTGCAGTTTTGATTTCTCAATGTTTCCCAAACCAAGTGGTGTCAACAGGGCCACCAGCAGCTCAAATTTCAGGTTATTCCTGTGAATCAGTCAGAATTTGAGCCATGGGTGACCAGCTTAATTTTTTGTCTGGCAAATAGTTGTTAGCAAGACAGGAAATGAGGGTATATCTTTCTAATGGGGCCCAAGATAGCAGTGAAAACCCACAGGGGGTCTAACTCGAGATGGGCTTTAATGCCCACACACTGCACATGAGTGACAGGGGTTTCTATGCTGAGAGAACTTTAAATGTACACGTCCAGAACAGTGACCGAACTATCAAAGACAGCACTTGGTCTCTAGTATTGATCAGGATCCCGATCATCTGACCACTGTGACAGTCAATCGCAGTACTCACATCATCGGGGCAGACCTTCCTGGCCCCCAGCTGTATTAACCCAGCTAACTGGACACCATGGCTGAGCAGAAAGGAGTTAATATAGGTCAGTAGAAGAGACTGACAAGCAGATTCTTCCTTTCATGTCAGCCTCCTGCCTGTGCTCACTGTTGCTATACTTCTTTGTCATTCTACTGTAACAGAGGTAAATCCTAAATAAAGGAGTGATCAAAATTAACATATCTTAACATTAATGTTTTTATGTCTGTATTAAAGGGCGGAATATGTTCTGTTCATTTTGGTACCTCGTAAAGATTCTGTGCAACTGCCAATCAGTTACTACATAAGCAACATTTGAAGGAATATAGATGAAGGAGCCCTTGGGAGCTCCAGCAGCTCAAAGCTGAAAATACATATACTGTACATAGAGAAGTGTGAGGGCCTTCAAATCAATCTATATAGGCTATACACCTTGATTTTTTTATGTAGACAAAATGAATAAAAAAACTCAAAATTTAGAAAATCTATCAAAGATACCAGTACATAAATAAGGTCAAAATATGATGATAATAATCATCTATCATGTAGGTTGCACTTATTCTTTGAGAATTAGTCGAAGATGGAAATATGCATTATAAAGAGCAAGCAGCAAAGTAGCTCTACATCCCAACACTCATGTAAACTGCAATACAAGGAATGTGTGATGTGCCTGTGAATAAAACAAAGTTCATTCATCCTACTTCTGTTAGCAATTTCTAGATATCCCAGTTGCCATTAAAGTTAAAACACTTGAATTCATCGGAAAAAGCCAGAGCATGTGAATGGGAGGCACAAGGGAGGTGCTTTAAGGATGATGTGTATTGATGAAGATACCTAACTGTATTTTAGACCCTGGAGAAGGACACTTTATTGCCTGTCACTGCTGACAGATAGCATCTCTCTGCTGCTGCTGTCCTATCAATTCCCTGCTCCCCTTCCTTGTTCAACTTCATTAAGAAGACCAGCCAACTGTCTGCACAACTAGACATCGGGACTCTGAGCAGTTAAAGACATAGTTGCCTCAGGTCTGAAGATCCAAGCCTATAGACATGAGTGAACATTTCCCTAACCTGGCTCATTATGGTCAGATCACGCAGTGATTTTATGTTTATACACCTCCCCAACTCTGTCAGATATCTCCAAGCTGAGCAATCTCATGGAAAGCTTTCATGGGACTATGGAGCAGTGAGAAGATTAGGCACCTATTAAGTAGGAAGAGGGTAGGGGGACAACAAACAATCAAACCTTGCCAATTGCTCAGCCCAGGTAACGCCACTTGACTGGAGTACAAGGATTGCATTTAATTATAAAAGTTTGAGCTTTTTGACAAATACTGCTTATTGCATGTTTTGACATGCCTGGATTTTTTTTCATGCACAATTTCCATTTTACCCATGTTGACCACAAATTAAAATAACTTAATGTGTATTTAAACCCAATAACCAAAATTTCATTTAAAGCCAGAATATTAAAAATTCACTTAAAAGGTTAAATGCACATTTTTCCTGGGGGGGTGCTGGCTCTATCACTTACCTGTCTCTAAACTCCAGACAGCTCCGACGCTCTCCTTCTCTGCCTTTCTCTGGGTGGAGCCTCATCATCATCTTGTACAATACATGGACCAGCCACAGTGCTGGAGAGACCCTGCTGGAGTGACGTATGAGTTTAGTATTTCTTCTTATTCCTCTACCTCTAGACATAGCAATCATTTAACCCTGCAGCATGGGGGAGGGGGCACTAAAAGGGTGATTTTTTTTTCTATTTGTGGAGTTTTATGCTTTAACATGTTATAGTCAATTCAAAAATTGCATTCGATATTTGGAAATCTGCAGATTTCCTTAAAATAATACCTGATGATCCTGTCATGGGGGTGCTTCCTGTTATTGAGTGACAACACTTTGCTCTGTCTACCAGTTGCTCTCCTGTGTTGTCATCCTGTCGACTGTTCGCCCATTACAAACTGTAGGTGTCTGTGCCAAAGCAGGTTTGTCAGGCATTGCCCCTTTTTTTTTCTTTTTAGAAACCTGTCCACAGAAATATCATGCAGCCATTGTGTAGAAAGGTAGCAACTGCAGAAGATCAGAGGCATTAAGATACAACAAAGGAAGGATAAACTTACGATTACCGGGCACTTTATTAGGTACACCTTGCTAGTACTGGGTTGGGCCCCCTTTTGCCTTCAGAACTAACTTAATCGTTTGTAGCATAGATTCAACAAGTTGTTGGAAACATTCCTCAGAGATTTTGGTCCATTTTGAAATGAGTTACTGTTGCCTTTCAGTCATCTCGAAACAGTCTGCCCATTCTCCTCTGACCTCTGACATCAGCAAGGCATTTTTATCCACACAACTGCTGCTCACTGGGTATTTTCTCTTTTTCGGACCATTCTCTGTAACCCTAGAGATGTTTGTGTGTGTGAAAGTCCCAATAGATCAGCAGTTTTTGAAATACTCAGACCAACCCATCTGGCATCAACAATCATGCCATGTTCAAAGTCACTTAAATCCCCTTTGAAGATTATTCTGAAGCTCGGTTTGAATTCACCACATCTAGATGCCTAAATGCATTGAGTT